CACTTTTTTCATAACCGTTTTTTCACTGTACTTTTTAAAGGGCAGTTACACTGCACAGCCTAAACTGTTTAAACAACCCCTTTTTCTTCGTATCGTAAGCAGTTGCCACTAACACCCACACACCGCATCAAAACAAAAATAAACAATCCATTCCCGTAAGTATACAGTTGAGGCATCTCAACAACAAAAAGCTTTACACCCAGCTGATCTCTTTAAACTATAAAAGTCAAAAGAAAAAAATTAAACCCAATAAACAACAACATGAATTTTTCTAAAATTATTCGGAATCAAAAAAGAGAGAAAACCCTTATAGTTACACTAAACAATACATCTGAAATCCAAAAGATGCGCAGTTCCGTCATTCAAACATGGTAATAAACTGCTAGCTAATAATCTTACTGCATAGATAACAAACATCTATTACTTTTTGAATTCAAGGGTAAACTGTTTGAGAAGTTAGGGCTTTTTTTCACTTTTTGTTCCAGGTGGTTTTATGAGAAAATAAAAAATACTTAATGTCTGCAGTCCACACATGGTAATGAACTGGCAACAGACAATTGTATTGTTTGGATAACAAAAACTTGGTAATTCCAACAGATCACAATGCACAAATTTTTCAAAAGTTCTACAGAAAGCTATTAGTATCCCTCCATAAAGCGGTTACAATTATCCAATTTCAATAACACTGCCTTGAACCAATTTTAAAACGTCACCTAATACTCTTACAGCAAATCACTTCAGAGAACAACAAAACTGATAGTTCCACATCACACACTCATCAAGAATTTCAATTTTCCAACATGTCAAAAAAACATCAATCTATGCACAACTGTTGCCAACTTAAAAGAGTCCAAAACCCCACAATTACGGTCTAAATAGAACAAAATTTTAATTTTGATTTTTAGAGTAACAGTCCTCTGCTGTTTCAAATCTAACTTCTTTGCCCTACAAGTCACCGAAATATCCCAGTTCAAATAAACAAAAAAAAATCTTTCTCAAAAACTACCACCGTTCATTTTTCGCAGCAAAGACTCCTCTTTACCACATATAAAGCCGTACAAAAAATTTTGAGTCAATCAGTCCTTCCTGGCACTGCATTAACTACATAATAAGATCTCCAACCGAAGGTATACTAAAAAGTATGGAAAATTTTATGCCAAGATAAAACAGACAATGCTGCGCTTTTCAAAAATAATTTCAAAAAACAGAAGAAATTATTGGCCGAACGCAGCAAAACTCTATTACATTTTGAACAAAATAAAAGAAGCAGTAATTACCCCCTGATGCATTTGAAAAAATCAAACTGAAAACGAACCTAACAAGACCAAGAGACGTTCGTTTGAAATGTCATCCTCGGCATTTCTTTCAAAAAACCACCACATATAGCTGGTTGCACTCACAAAAAAATGCTTAGAACGAGCTCTTGCCTAAATAATAAAAAG